TCCACCGTAGCAGATGGCCTGGTGACAACTCTGCATTACCCAGCACCCAAGTGCAATAAGCCCACAGTCTACGGCGTGTCCCCCATACACGACAAGTGGGAGATGGAGCGAACCGATATCACCATGAAGCATAAACTTGGGGGAGGGCAGTATGGCGAGGTGTATGTTGGCGTCTGGAAAAAATACAATCTCACAGTTGCTGTGAAAACACTAAAGGTAAGTTCCCAGGTTGCTGTGTGCCTGTTATTCTGCTGTCATTTGTATGCAGACGTAAAGGAGCTGTGATGCATTCTCAGCTCTACTTGTCTCATGATGCAAATGCCTGATCTGTATTAAATCCATGCTTGAGAGTAGTATGTAGAACAAAGCCAGTGTATTGAACTTGCCAACATGCATGTGGCTTGGAAACATTTTGGTTTGTTTTCTGGCCCTTGCAAGCTCCTACGGGAGCTGCATATCCAAGCCTGCTCTGTAGAAATGGTTACTAAGTGCATTTCTTTTCCCTCACAAGAAATGTTGAGGTTTCTAAGAAAGCAAGAAACATTATTTACAAGCTTTCCCGTGCTCCTGCAAAAGTTCAGCTTCTCCACATACAATTCTTACCAAAGCCATTGTTCTGCTTGCTTCAGTATAACAGTTGCAATTCCAGGTGCCTCCTACCTAAGGGAGCTTGAAACTTAAATTGTATAGCTGGGCAGTAAAACTAAGAAGAGAATTTTCCCCTCACTAGCCACAGGGCTTTGGTAGCTGCAGTGGCTACCGAAATAAGAAAGATGCTGCGTATCTGTTGCTTGGCCATGCTGCAAGCTGGCCAGACAGCTTTTCGTGTGTGTTATGTTCCTTTTTTGCTTTGGTAAAGGCCAAAATAGCAAAATGGAGATGAGGATACTGTCATTTTTACTCACCTAGAATACGTGGTGTTCAGCAGACCTTGGTCATAACGATACATTTTGTTGTTTTTTTGTCTCCCTGTTTATCTAGGAAGATACCATGGAGGTGGAAGAGTTCTTGAAAGAAGCTGCTGTAATGAAGGAAATCAAACACCCAAACCTAGTGCAGTTATTAGGTTAGTGGAATAGCTTGATCTTTCTGTTTGAACTCGGTTTCTATCAAAAGGAAATCTCTCGAAAAGCAGTGGCAGATATTCTGTATTGGCAGATATTCTGTATTTGTATAACCTTTTTTTTAAATGAAGTCAGTTTGGGGTGATGCTTTTGACAACTTTTTATGTAGTGCTAGGGCTAAGATACACTAATTTTAAACAAAACATCAAACAGCAACTTAACAAGTTTGGTGAGGTGAGGAGGAAAGAGGAGCTTTGCTCACGTGCTCCTTCCTTCTCGCCACTAGGTGTGTGTACCCTGGAGCCACCCTTTTACATCGTGACGGAGTACATGCCGTATGGGAACCTGCTAGACTATCTGCGAGAGTGCAACCGGGAAGAAGTGAGTGCTGTCGTGCTGCTTTACATGGCCACACAGATCTCCTCGGCTATGGAATATCTAGAGAAGAAAAACTTCATTCACAGGTGGGTAAAATCCTATTGGGCTGGCACAGCTTCTGGCTGTAACGGTGGATGGAATTCCTTTTTTTTTTCTGGGGAGTTTTCTACCAAATTTCAGCTTCACATCTATGGTCTCTTTTGGTTTTGACACTGTATTTTACCATCATTAAGGGAGATTTTGTTGGCTTTATAATGTGTTGCTATTTAGGTCTTTGGCACAGGCTTGCAGTGCCTTCTCCCCCTGACTTTAATATAAAAGTTACAATCTCTTTCCTGACATCTATGAAAGTGAGTTGGTGCTGCCATTTCTGATGTCCCCCTTCAAGGCAAAGCGTTGACAAACAAAATGTCCCGTTTTCATTCAGTCAGATAAAATGGTGCCATAAAACTGTTACCGGTGTGTGAGGAGCTGCTGAGCTCATCCTGTTCTTAGGAAACATAAACCTCTTATCCTAACAGCTAAAATACTGCAAATGCAGTAGAATTTGAAGTGTGAGCTTGAATCTTACTGCTCTTAAGAATAACTCTGCTCAGTGCTTGATCCTAGCTAGAGCAGAGCTCTTACTGTCTTTACCTGCTGTATTGAGGAGCTCTTCAGGAGAGAGAGCAACAGACCACTCAGCTACAAAACTGTATTTAAATGTGCTCTTGCCCCAGTGAAACAGTATGCTTCTTTTGTTGTTGTTGTTGTTGTTGTTGTTTTTAAATATAGGGACCTGGCAGCCCGAAATTGCTTAGTTGGAGAAAATCATGTGGTGAAGGTGGCTGATTTTGGCTTAAGCCGACTTATGACCGGAGATACCTACACAGCTCATGCTGGAGCCAAGTTCCCAATCAAGTGGACAGCCCCGGAGAGCCTGGCCTATAACACCTTCTCGATCAAATCAGACGTGTGGGGTAAGCAAACCCTCTTCTGGTGTTCTGTTCCTTTGCGTTTTGTTTTTGTTTGACAACCTGGGGAGGAAGTTGCTTTCTGGCCTGAGGGGAAACACAGGGGTAAGGTAAAGCTCAAATGCCAGGCCATGCGTGTCCCTGCGTATGCAGGGGGGTTGGACTAGATGATCTCTAGAGGTCCCTTCCAACCCTAAGCATTCTATGATTCTATGATTCTATGATAACATCCCAGTTCAATAGCATTTTTGGCACGTAAAGTCTCTATCAAGACTGGCCTAAACATCTGCGAGAAAGAGACGCTGCCTCAAGCTGCAGTGAAAGCCACAATCTTAAAAAGCAGCAGAAGAAAGGAGGGCAATCTTATAACCAGGATTTTTTTCCTCCTTGTGCAGCCTTTGGGGTGCTCTTATGGGAAATTGCCACCTATGGGATGTCACCGTACCCAGGCATTGACCTGTCCCAGGTGTATGATCTGCTGGAGAAGGGCTATCGGATGGAACAACCTGAGGGGTGCCCTCCGAAGGTTTATGAACTGATGAGGGCATGTAAGTATTTTCTTCCAGTTTGGGAGACAAACACCAGGATGAGTGGGAGAAGTCTGTAATTCTTTCCAACTTTGCTTTCCGTGTGCCAGTTTGTTTGCTAACACGGAAGTGTTCACATTACCCAAGAGATACCTGGTTACTGATGCAAAACAAGACCAGTCTCGTGGGGCAAAAATTCACCTCCAAGAACTGGCAAATGGTACTACTGTGTTGTGAATGGGACTCCCACTGTGGAATCACAAAATTGAATTCAGACTGCCCAGTTAGCATAGCATACCCAGAATTCTCCTTTGCCTGGACAAGGAAAAGGGAGATCAGAAAAGCCTGTGGGGAATGGGAGAGACTGGGCTTTCTGAAATGGGTTCCTTTGCTCTCAAGACCTTGTTTGTTAGGAATATGTAAGGTGATTGCTGCTATGAATTTGTACCTGATGAATCTACAGCTCACATAATAGCAGATCACAGGCTGTGTGCAGGTCAGAGAGCTTAGTTTCTACCTCGTTGAACAAAACAAAATATCCACCTCTACCCTGCTTCACACAGAGACCTTCCTTGCTTTCTCATGCTGCAGGTTGGAAGTGGAATCCACCAGACAGACCTTCCTTTGCTGAGACCCACCAGGCCTTTGAGACCATGTTCCACGACTCCAGCATCTCTGAGGGTGAGTTACCCTTTTGCCTTATTTCTGAAACATTAGTGAAACAGTTTCAGCTCCAGAGTGTCTTGTGGAGCCTTACGGACAGGCTCTTAAGGCTCCTCTGGTAGCCACGTGAGGGCTTCATCCCTTAATTTTGTCAACCCTGTATTTGTAAATACGTGATCTCATTAGCTACTCAAATACTGAATACACTTGAGCAATATTCTAGTGCAGGGAACAGGGTAGTAATTCATTTGAGCACCAACGTGCGCAGGAACAGAGCTAGGGAATATCATCTCTTTCTGCTCAACTGGACTTGCAGAATAGTGAGTGATGCTGAGAGAGAGAGAGAGAGAGGAAGATAAATCATAGTCCACTTTTAACCGCCAAAATTGCATGATGAAACACTATTCTACCAGCTTTCCTTTAAGAAAAAGTCTTACTTCCTGAATCTCTGGATCTTCTACCTCAACTACCTCTAGGAGCAAATCTGTGCAATTGAACTCTCAGACATAGTCAACTGGGAGGTGGTGAGAACTAGTGGTGAGAAGGGTGAAAGCAGACAGGAAACAAGGAGAACCATCCAGTCACCTCCCTCCTACAGGAAAAAAAAAAAAAAAAAAGAAAAGAAAAACCACATCAGATGACTGAATTCTACCAGGGAGGTTGTAGAATAGGCTCTTCAATTGGTCCCAGAAATGCCAAGCTGGGGGTGGCCAGGAGATTTGTTTTTGTTGGTTTTAATCACTTATCTGGTATTGGTGTTGGGAAGGAAGCGAGCTGTCCTGACTTCCCATACGGAGAGCCAGTGCTTTGTCTGAAGCAAAGGAGCTCAGATCCAGAGGGAACACAACTTCGGGGTATTCCAGCAACATCCGTGTGCAACACGGCGATTAGAAACAGAAGCAGCTGCTTTCTGGAGCTTCAGCTCTATTCCGTGAGCAGCCCTTGCCCCAGCACAGACCTTCTCTTGCACAGACCTTTTGTGCTGAACTTGTAAAAATAGAAATGAGTTAATTTGAAAGCATTAGGGGAGGCATCTTACTATAAACACCTCTGGACTCGAGCAAAAACTGCATTTATAGATAGCTTGCTTTCTCAGTCTTGTGCCTCTTCTTCCTAGTCTGAGTCTGTGGTAAAGACCTAAATTTCTTTTTCCCTTCCTCTGCTGGTCTCTCTTCCAACTATTCCCTCTGTTTTTTTTTTTTTTTTTTTTCTTTTCTTACAGAGGTAGCAGAGGAGCTTGGAAGAACAGCCTCCTCCTCATCCATAGTTCCCTACTTGCCCCGGTTGCCCATGCTTCCCTCCAAGACTAGAACACTGAAGAAACAGGCAGAGAACAAGGAGAATATTGAAGGAACACAGGACTCTGTGGAGCACTCAGCCTCCAGCTCAGCACCAGGTATGGGCCCTAGGACAGTGGCAGTGACACCAGGTCTTTGGGATAGCTGTGCTGCTGGTGGAAAATGCTGGAGAAATAAAAGAAAACAGAACAATGTCTCCCGATGGAGATCTGCAGCAAACTCTCCTGGCGGGATGGCTTGTGGGCTTAATGTTTCGGTGAGGATGCAGTTAAGTGCAGTGGCTTTTCTGGGTTTGTACCCAAATGCAGCACTTACTGTGTTACTCCAGGAGGACAGGCAAGGCGAGAAATCTCCCGGGGTATGTTCACTCTTCTTGAATAGCGAAGTGGAGTGGTCAGGCCGATGGAAGTTTTGCTTTCTCAGGGAGCTGATGTGGCAGAAAGCAGGAAGGCTTTTTCTTTAGCAGCGTAGAAGGGCGCAGAAGAGGATGGAAGTTCTTGGTCACAGTCCAGGTGCCACTTTTCATTGCTGAGGATGCAGGAGAACTACTGTTGACAAACTGAGATGGGACCATGTCTGAGCAGACGCTGTTCAGACCTCTCCATTTTGCGAAGAAACAAAATCCTGGAGTGTGAAACAGTTTTGTGGCTCTGGTGAGATGATTCTTCAGGCTTGCTTAAGTTGGCAGCCAAGTTAGTCCCACCTGGCTTAAGCGCTGCTTCTGTGACAGGCCAGTGCTTTTAACTGCAGGCACTGAGGCATTCAGGCTGGTTGCCACCACAGCTGCATGACTCTTTACCAGCAACCAGAAAACACCACAGGCTTGTTGGTTGTCCTCTCGATAAATCCTGTTGTATTTTTTTTCCCTTTAAATTTGGTTTTGTTACTGTTTAAACAAGACCGCTTCAAAACTAAAACTGACGAAATGCAGGAGATTTTCTTTTATAATGGCAGTATTTAGAGAAGGAGGAAAAAGCTATGGGAAGAGAGTAAGAAATTAACCGGAAGAAGAGAATACTTCACTTTTGCCTGAACTCTCTCCTAAATCATAGGCAATGGGCAGGTTATATATGCAGAAACAGGAAAGAAAAATCAGAGGCACATCAGCACAAAACCAGAAACTCCGTCTTCCCCTCTCAGTCCTGCTTGGGAGATCCTGGGCAGCTAAATAACCACCCAGGTCCTGACACCCGCTGCAGGACAGGAAGGTGGAAACGGAAAATGACTTTTGGCTTTGCCTTTGTTTCTTCTGCACAGGTTTTATCAGGAGCAGCCAGGCCCCAAGCGGGTCCCCTGCGCTGCCTCGCAAGCAGAGGGACAAGTCCCCCAGCAGCCTGCTGGAGGATGCCAAGGAGACCACGTTCACCAGGGACAGGAAAGGTGGCTTCTTCAGCTCCTTCATGAAGAAGAGGAACGCGCCCACGCCGCCGAAGCGCAGCAGCTCCTTCCGGGAGATGGAGAATCAGCCCCACAAGAAATACGAGCTAACGGGTAACTTTTCCTCCGTTGCTTCCTTGCAGCACGTGGACGGGTTCGCTTTTGCTGCCGCGCAGCAGGATGCCAGCCTGGCGCCACCGAAGTGCTTTGGTGTGGCCTTTGTGCCGAGGACCTTCTACAGCGAGGACAGCAGTGGTGCCAGTGGTGGCGGGGGCATGAGCGCTGGTGGCGGGTGGTCGGGCATCACAGGTTTCTTTACACCACGCTTGATTAAAAAGACGCTGGGTTTACGAGCAGGAAAACCCACTGGCAGTGAAGAAGCGTCAAAGCCTTTTCCAAGGTCAAACTCTACATCTTCCATGTCCTCAGGGCTTCCAGAGCAGGATAGGATGGCAATGACCCTTCCCAGAAATTCCCAGAGGTCAAAAATCCAGCTGGAACGGACAGTGTCCACCTCCTCTCAGCCAGATGAGAGCACAGGGAGGGCCAGTGACCTGCTTTCCAAAAGGTTTGAAGAAGGCCCTGCTTTGACCAGAGAGAGACCAAAAGCAAAACTCTTGCCGCGAGGCGCTGCGGCTCTCCCCTTCCGAACGCCCTCTGCCTCAGAGGAGAAGGAGGGTCCAGGGCTGGCAACAGCTCCTAAGAGTAAAGAAAAAAACACTGGCCCACGGCAGGGGCCCCCCGAGGATGGTGAGAGGCCAGGGTGGTCGTCGCCAGGAAAGGCCGCAGCAATACTTCCAACCACTCACAACCACAAAGTGCCAGTCCTGATCTCACCCACGCTAAAACACAGTCCAGCCGATGTGCAGCTTATTGGCACAGACTCTCAGGGTAATAAATTTAAGCTCTTATCGGAGCATCAGGTCACTTCTTCCGGTGACAGGGACCGGCCCAGACGGGTAAAACCAAAGTGCGCTCCGCCGCCAGG